GAGAATCAAGACTGATGAAAACTACAAGTGTGTAAGCCTTGCTTCCACAAGAAACATCAAAAACATAAAACCACGGGTAACAGTTCATCAATGTATCCTATAGATGTGATTCACATTCAACATTTATTAACTGTGTATATGATTATGACTCATGAAGACAGTACAAAAGGTTCCTTGACTCTGATCTTGCTGTTCTATTCAGAAAAATACATTCAAGCATCTGACATCAGTGTTTTATAATGACATGTTTGAAAACTGAAGCACAGTAAAAGTATATATAACTTTTCTTTTTTTAATTTTTTTTAAAGTCTTACAGAACTGAATAGAAAAAGCTACAGAGAATTTTAATCAGAACTGTTATGCACAACACAGATGGGAAACTTTGCATCTCCCCCTCCTGAGAAAAAGCACAGAAAATATTTTCCTGTACCATAACTTACATCCTGAACTCTATATGTGCAACAGTAATGTGCACATAGACCCTTTGTAACAGTTTTATTTATTTATAACCCACATATCTCTGTGGATGGCTTTAGCCACAAGCAAACAGGTTACACAGAGGAATTAAATCTGCTCCTGATGATACGAAATCATCCCCCACAATAATGTTTGTAGTCCATCTTTAGTTCTAGAGAGTCTTTACACTGACTAGAGTCATGCTGTCCTCACACAGGGTGCACAATACCAGTGCTCAATTTGATACGTGCCTGAGTAACAGCTACAGGAGACAGAGACAGAAGCTCAAGGATATTATCTTTTTGTTCTGCCATTTCTTGTGTTTCAACAGCAACTTTATCACAGTAGCTGTGCTAGACATGTCTCTGAGCAGGAGTTTACATTCCAGCTGAGCAGCCCACTCATATTTCTCCGAATAGACCTATACCCCTAAGGCTATGTGGAATACTTTTCAGTCTCTACTATGGCAAACTTCTTTGATAAATGCTTTTAATACATCCTTTTGACATGCTGAGGCAACAGTGTATGATAAAGGTTCTCAGCAGCTTTTCTCTTTAATAAATATAGGTATTTGTAGTTTCATTCATTTCTGATCTGATTCAGAAGCTTTGGAATGAAGATTCAATTCACCACCAGATAATCTTAATTCCAGAAACTAACTTCTTTGAACATGAAAACATATAACACTTAAAATTAAAACTTAATTCTAGAGCACTGGAAARGAAAAAAAAATTGCTTTTGTTCTACACTGAACTTTTCTTTGCAAAAGTTACAGGGGAAAAGCATTAACTGACACAACCATAGAAAGAAGGCCTTAAAGAAACCACTGATGGTTGAGAGACAGGATCAGCTTGACCTAAAACACTACTGCAGAAAGCAATTTTTTTCTGAAATGTTCTAAGACGTTTAAATTATGTACTGGTAGGAAGTGTTTCCTAAGGTCTAGCACAAAGCTGCATTGTTAGAACTCAGGCATTTTTGTTCTCTCCACACCATGTATGGAACAGTTTACTCCCTTTTTTGCAATATGACTGACACGGCCTTTGATTGTAACAATATTCTGAAGAAAATGCTGAAGAGCCCTATTTGACAAAGTACCACACAGCATGGCTGAGGCTGGACCTCTGGAGGTCATGCGGTCTGACATCCCTGCTCAAGCAGTCACTAACAGCCTATTGCCCAGAATCATGTCCAGATGCCTTTGGAAGGTCTCCAAGGATGGGGACTCCAGCAATTCTTTGGGTAACCTCTGCCAATGCCCATCACCCTCACTGTAAAAAAGGTTTCCTGATGTTCACAGGGAACATACCATGTTTCAAGTTTATGCCCATTGCCTCTGGTCCTGTCATAGGGCACCACTGCAATGAGCCTGGTTCTCGTCCTCTTTGCACCCTGCCTTCAGATTTTTACACACAAGTTTCCATCCTTGCAGCCCTTCACTGAACTCCCTCTAGCAGCTCCATCTTTCTCTTGCATTGGGGGGCCCAGAGCTGGCCTCCAGCACCGGCCTCACTTGTGCTGTATGAAAGGGCAGGATCACCTCCCTCAATTTCCTGGCAACAGTGATTTCCTGGCAGCCCAGGGCACTCTTAGCCATCCTTGCTGCAAGGACACAGTGCTGGCTCACATTCAACTTGGTGTTCAGCCTCTCAAGTCCTTTTCTGAACAACTCATCTCCAGCTGGAGGATTCCCACTATGCACTGATGCCTGTGGTTGTTCTCCACAGGTGCAGGACTTTGCTCTTCCCCTTGCTCCCCTTGTTTCCCTCCACTTCATGAAGGTCCCCTTAGCCCACTTCTGCAGTTCCCTGACCTGACAGGCCTGCGGTTTCTCAGTTACTTGTCCCAGCTAGGTGTCACCTGCAAACTTGCTGGGGGTACACTCTGCCCCACGATGCAGCTCGTTAATGAAGTGGTTGAAAAGTCTCAGTATTGACTCCTGGAACACATCTCCACTTACTGGTCTCCAAACTAGACTTGTGTCATGTATTACCATTCCCTGGGCCTGACCATTCACCTCACTGTCTGCACACCCAGCCCATACATCAACTGCTTCTCCTTGAAAGCATTATCCAGAGTCAAAAGTCCTACTGWAGTCTAGCAAAACAATGATGCTCTTCCTGGCTCTATAACAAGTTGGTCAAGAGCATGGTGTCCACTTGCTGAATCCMTACTTACTACTTCTAATGCTTTTCTTGCTGCTCATGTCTGGAAATTATTCTCAAGCATAACAATTCAACAGGTCTAGCCATTTAGCAAGCTTATTTCAGTAATTTTACAAATTATATCCCTAAAGACTGCTATTTTCATTTTAGGAAAAGGATAGCAAATTAATAGTGGAACTGAACAAGTTGCTGGTATTGCTGCATCATTTACCACCCACCAGAGTTTTAAAGTCCTATCTGGGAAAAGAACTAATAAAAGCAGAAGCTGAAATGACAATCCAGTATTAAATAAGTAATCCTGGACCACCAAAATCAGTATGTTAGGTTTTTTAGCTCTACCAGGTGCCTGACAAATATACTCAGTCAATCTTGAGGAACAGAGRTTTTCAAATAATTCAGAGGGATCTCAGATAAGATTGCACAATATCTAAGAATCCTTCATATGCCCTTCAAAATTATGATTCGGTATGAGTATTTGCAAAAGAAGGAAAAGTTGCTTTAAAGGTAATCCAGTTTTTTCACTTCTGAATGAAGTCAAAGAAGAAAGRCTTACACATCGCCTTACATAAAGGTCAATTTTCTCTCMTCTGCAATATGCAGGAGATAAGAAGAAAGGTTATAAAGGCAACACAGAGATGAAATGTCTTTCATTCAACAGAATCCAATATGGTAACTTAATCTTTCTTCTCCACTATTACACAATTTTCTAACAGCATTTATTGTGTATGTTCTGCCTCATGCATTTAAAAATAACAGTTGTGCTGCCTGAAATTATGCTAAAAATCTCCAAATCCCTCTATTTTGAATAACCATATCAAACCTTCAGAAAATTTGCAGGTGGTTTGTACTTTTACAACGATACTGGAATTAACATTCCTTCACTAAACGAATTTCACACATTTAACCACACCAGTKCAAAAATACTGATTTCATTTTAACTGTAAATGACCTGTGCCAACAAGCTCTAATATGCACTTCAATTAAGAGAAAAGTATTAATGGTAGATCATAAGCACCCTTTTACTGGCTACACAGTGTGAGACTGGCTTAAACTTTATTTTTTAAGATATGCTGCAGTGCCAGTAGAAACAATACTGCTAAAAAAAACCCCATCCCTATCACCCACGCATGTGTATCAGCAGTCATGCATCACATGGCTTTCGCTGTTTTTTCCCCCATCAGAACTGTTTTCAGACAGATGCATTACATAACCACGGGCAGTACCCACGTTTCTGGCAGCACCGTGGAAACAGAAACTTTTTTTTGAAAGACTTACCTCCTTTTTTTTGCAGAGGCCCAGTAAGGAGGARAGAACAGCACACCACAGGGATGGGGCATGGAGCATCCCTGGAAATTTAGGTTTGATATTARGAAGAAACTCTACTGTGAGCATGTGAAGCACTGAACAGGCTGCCTGTGGAGTCCCCATCCCGGGGTGTGTTCAGGGCCCGGTGATGGGGCTGAACAACCCAGTCTGGYGAAAGGTGTCCCTATCCATRGTGGGTGGCTGGAACSACGTAATCTTTAAAGCCCCTYCCTACTTCTCACCATTCTGATTCTGTGAAAGCAATCGTGAGATCGCCCTTTCTGGCCACGTTCCCGCCGCGATTATCTAATCCCAAAGGGCAGAAAAAGCACGCCTATCTGGAGAGCTGCAGCGCCTCTTGTCAAACCSTGATGGCCTGCTACGCAAGCATTCCCAGGGAAGCATTTGTTTTGTTTCACTAGGCGAGGATGCTTGTAAACTGAGACCYTGTCCGCATTTCCCACCCTGCTCCGGGCACACCTGCACCTGGCATTTTGTTTTCGCCCTGAGCAAGTGTACAACAGAGGCCGCGGCCATTCCCAAAGGCTGCAGCCCAGTACAACACACAGGGGCTTGCAGCAGGTAGCTGGGAGCCAGGAGGCAACACACTTGAAATAMGAACACGACGCTGTGTTTAGAGCTCGGAGGCGTCTGATTCTCGCTGCCCTGAAAAGTGCAGCCATGCGCACACCAAGAACAGAGTCGAGGGGAGCCACACCACACAAGGGAAGGCATATATAATTTGTGAGTCGAGCCGCGCATGCGCGGGCCGCCCCGCTGTGGAAGCCGCTGGAAGGGCTCGCGCCCGCCCCGGCCGCGCTGACCAATCACAACGCGCKCGCGCCTCGTCCCCCGCCAGCCCCGCCTTCCCCCTTCGTGCCGGCGCCGCCGCTCCCCCCGACGGCCACGCCGCGTTACGTAACGGCTCCCCCACCCCCACGGCTGCCGCTGATTGGTTGGAAGCGGCGAGCGCGCGGGTCACGCGGCGGCGGGCTCGGGTGGGGCGCGGCGGCGCGGCACGCGATTGGCCGGTCCTGGCGAGAGCCAATGGGAGCCGAGCTGCTGGATTCAAACGTTGCGGGGCGCGGAAGCGAGCGGTTAGTGCGCGAGGTGTGCGTGAGGTGTCYGTGAGGGCAGATCCAGAGGGGCTTGTGCCTGTGCCGCTGCTTCAGTTTGTGCTGCCGCGCCTCTGCTGCTTCTCTCCATGGCCCACAAGCAGATCTACTATTCTGATAAATACTTTGACGAGCAGTACGAGTACCGGTAAGAGGCTGCGGAAGACTGAAAGGGCTGGAGGGATTGGGGGGATTAGGAAGATGTGTTTYGTAGGACGGCGGCTCGGGCAGGCGCCTTTACCGAGGTGTGCTGGCTGTCCTCAGGGAATGTGGAGGCTCCGCCGAGGGAACTGGGCTAAGCCAGCAGGGAGGGGCTGTGCGAACCCTCTCCATGGAGGGTTTCCGTGTGACTTTGGACCGGCTGGACGAAGCGGGTGGGTGACCCAGYGCTGTTTTTGCCGGGCCCGGATTGCTTAGCGAGGGGCCAACACAGGCTCCGGCCACAGGCTGATGGCGGAGGGGCGTGCCCGCTGCATCACTCCATAGAGGGGGCTGTGGCGGAGCCTGGGATGGGACAGTGTCGGCCGCACTCGACAGGGGGTTGTTGAAGATTAACTGCTAGGCTTACTTGAAACCGGCATTACAAATATTTTATAAGGCCACAGTTCTTATTTTTCAAATAACTGATATGGCCTGATGCCAGGAGCACATGCTTCTCGGAGTTTAGAGTCACTGCAGTCTGAAAGGGTCTTAATCTCTTCTAGAAGGCAGTTTGGCTTCCAGTTGCTTTCCAGATATAACGTTTAATAGTCGTGATTTTAAGTTGGATTCTGGGGTGCGTTTCGTAATCAAATTCATGTCAAGACTCAATACTCTTCTTCATGGGAAAAGTAAGTATTTGTAACCTGTTTACTGTCTTTCAGTGCTGATCTGTTCCAGTTTTCTATTGTACAGTAGAATTTTCTGGTGTGTGTGTGTGTTTAATAATTAAACCTCTACAGACATGTGATGCTGCCACGAGAACTTTCAAAGCAAGTACCAAAATCTCATCTGATGTCTGAAGAAGAGTGGAGACGTCTTGGTGTTCAGCAGAGTCTTGGCTGGGTTCACTACATGATCCATGAACCAGGTGAGCACATCTGAAAAGAATTAGACTAACAGGAGTACTCTTTCTCTCCTTGCTATTTTAGTCCTTTGCCAACAAAGGTAACATAAACCTTTCTTTTCAACCTTCACATCCTGCTCCTGGACGTGCAAAATGCTAGCTTTGTCCTAGATGTGTCTGGTTAATCTGTAGACAAAAATACCAGACTGGAAACTGTTCCTACCTTTGCCCACAGAAAGAGGCTTCTTGTGAGTTCTTAAATAAAATGAGTATGCAGTGACTGAACCGAAAGTAATGTAGCAGCATATCTTTAAATCATGAAGCTGATACATCTGCTTTTTGGTACAACAACTGAAGATGCGTGTGTAGATAAGGCCCTGTATTAATGTCCCGAAAATTCTACAGTATAGTTTCAACTCTAGCTGTAGAGCCTACTGAAAAATCAGTATTTCAGTTAATGGGGTGCGAGGCCCTAAAACGACTAACTAGGACATTTGTATTGTGGGAACAACCATTCCAGGTAAATTAACATTGACAAGCCTGACAAAAAAGTAACAAGTAATTGATGAATTGCAGAAGCATCAAGTTCCAAGTTACTGAAGAACCAAGTGAAGAAATTACCATAGCCTTCCAGTGTTTCCCTCACCTACATATTTTAGACTTTCCTGAAGGCATTTAGAATAAAGAGGTTTGATGCTAATGTAAGCTAGCTGTATAAACGAAAGTTGGTTTTGCAGATGGTTGATATGTACCTCGCAGACAGTATCAGTAGTTTGTTGGTCTAAGTTACAGTAACAGAGTTCATCAAATAGCTCAATGTAAAGAGACATAAAATAATCGCTATTTTCCCAGTACTTCCCTCCTGTAAGGCTCTTAAATTTACAATACTGCCACCATTGGGTATAAAAATAAAAACTTGACTATTATAAGGGTCTGTTAATATTACATGTGGGGCCATATTGGGGCTTCCTAATCTAGTGAGTTAAAAGCAAGCTTCAACTAATGTTCAAAATTAAAGAWATCCCTTTAATCAAGACTTGGACAAACTGGCATTTTCTTCAATTTTCTTTCTGCAGAACCGCATATTCTGCTCTTCAGAAGACCGCTTCCAAAGGATGAGCAGAAATAAGCCATCATCTCTTGAATCTTCTGGAACTATGTATATGAGTATATATATGTTGGTAGTATTCAGTGAATACTTTGAATTTACAAAACATACATCCAAACCTGTGCATGAGCTGTATTATTCACAGCAACAAAGCTCAGTCAAATGCAATTCCAAGTAGGCTGCTATGATGCTCAAAGAGTGATGACTTTACTGTTAATGTAAGTGCCTCTCTGTGTTAATGTTTGTGTTGTATGTACTGGTTTGATCACCACTTGTTAGTATTCTTCTAACTTTTGCACTCACATTTTCTGCTGTAGTGTAGTATGTTCAAATCTAATAGTTTACCTGTTTAGTAGTAAGTAGGTGTAAGAAATAAACTATTTTTAATGTTCTATGAAACCTAAGTGTCTGGAGTTGCAATTTATTGGACAAAACGATTATTGTCTAACATTTTTTAAGAGTACCACTTCAAATAACAAAAATGATTTGGTGAACCTATTCAGTGATTACTTGGTATAAACWTAGGGTTGAGTAGCACTCAGTATTTCAAAGAGCTATTTTTATGCTCCTTTGCTTCATTTTGCTAATACCAGTTAACGTTCTATCACAAGGTTTATCCTCTGGGATTCTAGCCTGCTCTTTCTGCCTTGCATCCAAATTGTCTCTGTGTTATATTGGGATTCTGTAGTAGTAGCCATACAACCACCTTTTTTTTTTTTTTTTTTTTAAGAAAAGGTGCTTCAGCATCCTGAGTAAGTTGTAAGAGCAAGGGGTTACCCATTTCAGTGGCGATCTGTACTATGCCTGGTCAGAGCAGCGCTGGCCAAGTCTGCAGCAAGCACCTTCACTAAGAATCTTGCTGAGGTCTGCCTAAGCCATGTTTTTCTCCAGAACTTTACCAGTGGCGTCCTGGGTGGTTGTCACGATGCCTCCCTCCCTTTACACCCTACTGCCCCTTTTCCTGTGGGACAGAATCAGCTGCACCTGATGGCAGGGCGGCACAGCCGGGGCCAAGCCCCAGGCGTTTCCCGAGTCCCGGGCCCGTGGCGCTCATTACGGACTGSCCGGAGCAGCCATGGCGGCGCGCACACAGCCGCAGGGGCGCGGCGGGCGGGGCTGTGGCGTCATCGCGGTGCGCCCTGCGCCGGGCCGGGCGGCGGGAGCGGGGCCGCGCCCCCCGCGCCATGTCGGCCGAGAGGTGGCCGCGCTCGGGCCGCGGCGGCGAGGTAAGGGCGGCGGCAGCGCCCGCAGTCCCCTGCCCCTTCCCCGGCTCTTCCCGGTGTCGAGTCACTTTGCTGGAGCCGCCTGGCGCGGGAGCCGCGGGCGGATCGCCTCGACCCGGGCCGACCTGCTGCTCCTTCCCCTGGGGGCCGCTCACCAGCCGTGGCCGAGCGCGCCGGCTGCCCATACGCCGGGCAAAGTGGCTCCCTCCGCGCCTTGGATCGGCCTGTGGTTCTGGACAGGGAGAAGAGTCCTTCTGGAAGGTTAAAACCGGGGGGGAGGGGTCGCTCAGGTTGGAGCACAGCGAGTCAGTTCCCACCGCTTGGCATGGGGAAATCCCGACATTATTTCCAGTGAGTTCAAGTGTGGAAACCTCGTCCAGAGAGGAAGGTCTGCGGCAAGGACAGGTAGACATCCCAGACATTCTAAGGATGGGTGCCCAGACTAACCAATAGCAGTAGTGTTGCACACATTCTGTTTCCAGGACCTGTTTCCTGGTCAGGTTCGGGGTCTTTGTGATCRGCTTACTGTCACAGGTGTTTCCTGTGTCTTTTGATGACATGGCAGTAAATACTTCGAGTTTCATTTCGTTGTCCTTCCATATATACGTATCCAGTTTAAGTCGATGGTAATTCAGAACAAATGGAAAACTTTTCTTAATAAATTTGTGTTGTGCCAGAAACAAGAAGGCTGTAGAATAAAATATCCATTTCAAACAGACTGCCTTAAAATACAGATCTGCACGAAGACGTTATTGTTACATTCTTTCAGAGTTTGATTAACAGTAATGCTAGTATATTTATGATTTTAGCTTGTAGTATTCAAATAAGAAGTAAGAATTTGAATATTGCATTTACTGCATCTTGTTTTAAGCAAGCCTCTGTCCTTTACATAACTGACCTTTGTGAGTGTTTCGTGCTAAATGAGAGTATTAAATGACTTTCCAGTGTAGTCACATATTTCTTYGAGTTCTTTCGTTTTATTTCACCTTATTTTTCCATTTCCTTTTGATGAGYTTTATTGTTTTGCATGTTTGTTAGAAGAGAGCAAACTAACACCTTCCAGTGACAGTTAAGCTCACAAGACTGAGTATTTTTCACTTATAACATTAATCTCCAAATGCATGTAGCCAAAAAACGTTTTGTTTCTCAGGGCATCAAGTTGTCAGCAGAGGTCAAACCATTTGTTCCCAAACATGCGGCGGTAACTGTGGCATGGTCAGAACCCTCAGAAGCATGTGTCTTTCCTAGGTACTTAACTACATGCTACCCATTTGTTCAGGAACCATCTTTGGATAAGTATGTATATTTTCTGAATCTTATTTCTTGGGGGTTTAAACCTTCTGGTTTTAGACATTGAGTACTCTTAGAAAGCCAGGGTTCCAATACATTATTAGTGCAACTGTAGCAATGCTTTGCATTATCTTCATGATTTAGTTTTTTACATTTATGTTCACTGGGCTTATACCGGCTACTTTGTCTTTTGCTCACAAGGGCTCATATTGTTACTGAGCATTAAGGAGGATTTGGTGGTCTGTAATAATTGATCTGGTTTTTATGTGTTTTGGAAGAAGCTGAATCCAGTCCTTGGTTGTTATGACCAGGTTGAGGTAGATGTAGCTGTACATAAGGAAAAAGATTCTTCAAGGAAATTTGTCATCCTGCAAAAAATTTGATATATGGGGCCTCTCCTGGATCTACCCTCTATAACCTGTACATCCACAGAAAAGCAGTTTCAGTAAAAATGCTACAGGTTTCTAAAAGTTTTGTGGTTTTCTTATTAAATCCCAAGAAGGATATTTTTGCAGRCTTAAAGAATTATTTCTTAACCCATAGCAAAATAGAAAAAAAGCCTGCATAGTAAGATAGGAAATAATGGAGCCTTGTAAGAATCTGATGATGTTACATAGTTCTTTCATTGCTTCTTAGGGCCCTAAGCACTGGATTGATTATGCAGTTGCTACAAAGTTACTGATTTTTCCTTAAAAATTCAGTTAGTGCATTAGTGAATACAATTATCGTAGGCCTTCATTTTATCCTACAGGTAATCTCAGTATTTTCAACCTATTTTCATTGGTATTAGAAATTTAGCATTGAGGTGAGTATGGCCTGTTCTGTTCATTAAACCCCCAGCATTAGCATTAAATCAATTACTGTTAAAAAAATGAAACAATCAGACAAAGTAATCTTCAAATGAGTGTTTTTTACCTTGTTCAGACAGAGACATATTTTTGAGTCCCATTTGGTATATTTCTTCTCTGTGAATTGATTATAAGCATTATTTTGACTACATTCTATCAGAAGTGCAACAAGCAGTATGAAGTGTGTTATCTGAAGTCTCTTGTACTGATGGTAAAGTTTCTTTGTCATTACTTACCCAAATTCCTGAGGTTGGCAACTTCATGGTGAACAACTTTAAAAACTGAGTGCAATTTTCTGAAGCGGAGAAATTTCCATTCTCCCTAATTAAATCTGGACTTTGTAAGTCTATATTTTCTGAGTGTAGAAGGAAATTGAAAGGGAATTTTTGAACATACATTTGAAGGAAAGAGGCATGCCTCAGATATGTTGTGTTTTCATAAATTGTCATGGTTACATGCAGGTCAGTTAATCACTATTTTTAAATTCTATATYGTATTCCATACATGTTTTATACTCCATAGAATGTTATACTCTAACATTGTTATTGTCATTTTAAGACAGGTTTTAATGTTTGTATTTTGCAGTCAAGTATGTGATGCATGTCATATCCTTACACTGTGCTTTTGGTTTGTTTCACAAGAAAAAGCTGACTGAAAATAAGTATGAAGAATGTCATTATCTTATGCAGGCATGAGAACTTCAACTGCAAAGCAGACTAACCTTGAAACTTGGAAACGGTTAACATCTGTTGTTTTAAGATATTTGCTTAACTACGTGGTTTTCCAAAACAAAATTATTTGTTTTTGAAGAAGTCTGTAGCAGTGAGTAAATACTTAATTGAGATAAAACTGAATAGTTTTCTTTTGAAGCAGAGCTTTCTTGTTAAACAAATTCTTTAGACAAGGAATATGTTTGTCTAGGCAATAAGTAGGTGCTGAAGACTTGCCCAAGGATGACTTTCATTTCTTTCATTTCATTTCATTTCTTTCTCAATATCCATCACATAGTGTTCTGGAAGATCCTGCCTTCCGTGAATACTCCAGCTGCTCTTACTCACCTGATGTTGGTGCAAATGTGTATCCAGCAGCTGGCTCACAGTATCAGTCTAACAACTCATCCCACAATAATGGTTCAGGAATAGTCAGTGACTCTGCTGAGCAAACATATCCAGTCAGACAAGAAAGTAAAAGTCTTTCAAAGGTGAGCAAATCTATTTTTAAAAAAATTACTATTAAATTCTTACTTTAAATCATATTTTTAAATGTTTGGTTCATATTTTTAAAGTGAATCGCCACTCTTTCTTGTAGTGATCGTAAATGGCATTTAAAGAGGATAGTAGTGTAGTGTACCCAACTGCAGATGCCAAAAAGTTCATGGAATTCTATACTTCGAATTAATACAATCTTTAAAGCATTATTTTTTGAACATGAGGGGATTTTTTTTTTGTCAGAAAGCAGCATCTAAGCAAGGGTGAGGAGGAGGCCATTCATTTGTGAKCTGTGCTTTCCTTTTTCACTATTTGGGCATAGGAGGAGGGGACAAGGGCTTTTTTAACCCCAGTAGCAGCTTCTGTTGAACTTGACTTAAGAGACACCTGGTGTCTGTAATCATCTGTTTGATGAGAACACTTCTGTTGTTGAAGGGTTTTCAAGACTTGCTACAAGTAGAAGACAATCCACAAGGGAGGAGTTGCATTGCTGTGGAGAGGGAGGAAAGGTTCATGTTATAAATGTATTCTTTTTCAGTCAGAAGTGAAACAGATGTTCAGTAAACATCTTCAGTATTTTTTGTGTGTATTTGTTTAGGGATAAATTTCTTGAAACTTGCATAGTATTTTCAAACAAAAAATAGACAAACTCAAAATATAATAATCTTAATGTATTATTAACTGATTTTCTCTCTGTGGTTAAGACATTGTGTCTTCAATTTGTAAAGGCTGTTGTTGTTTCAAACAATTTCATCTAATCTGTTCTGCAGTCATATCCTTCTGGTGGACCTTACTCTCTAGGCAGAGACCTGGTAAAGTCACTGTGGT